TGTTCACAAACAACTGCTGACTCGGACAGATGCGGCAGCCCTCCGTGTCATCGTCTCTGTGATGCTGCTTAGGATCGGCGACGGTGCGCGTTGGGCCACCTCCGTTGCCCCCCACAACCAGCTTTGCGACCACACTTACTACTTCTTTACATCCGCAAAACGCACGGCTCGAGAAGCACCGGAGCGGGAAGCGGTGTGTACTGAATGTTCCCCTGGCAGCCGGGGGATGCCACACCGAAGAACTCGGACCGTCCCTTACAATGTCATGGTTCTCCTCACATTCCTGGTCCCCTTTCCTACCTTCCTTCCTCTCAAGCAGCTTTCTCATCCCCTTCTGTCTCTGGGCTGCTCAGCTCTGGCCTGGAGGGCGCAGGCCCCGGGGGAGCAGCCTGCGCTGGGCACTGAGCAGGTGTGTTCTGCAAACAGCCTGTGGGGCGGGGTCGGGGCTCAGCTCACGTGGTGACACCTGAGGCTCTTTGGCTACTGATTCTTCACAAAAGCAGCTCTAGAGTTAGAAGGTTACCTTGGAGCAAGGCTAACAGCAGACAAAGTGAGAGATGCTGGTGAAGCAAACCAAGGTCTCTCAACCTGGCCAGTGTTTCTGGCCCCCCTGTGTCCTTCCCTACCACGCGCTCCTATTCCAGGTTCTGTGTAGTTCCAGAAACACTGACCGACTCGCGCTGCAGACCAGGCCCAGGGCTCGCGCCTTTGCTCAGGTAGTGGAATGGGAGGGTCAACCTGAACTGAGAGGGAGGAAGCACCTAAGGCTGCCAAGAGCTTTAGCAGGGAATGAGGAAGGGCTTCGGGAGTGCCACGCCTGGTACGCTGCATGAGGGGGTGAGCACAGGAACGGCCTGAGTCCACAAAGGACACGCTGCCCCAAGGCCGTGGCATCGGTGGCACCGGGAGAAGTTGGGCATGGGCCCCTCGCAGGGAGGGGCAGCAGGCGAGCACCCGCGGTGAAGGGCTCTGAATGCTGAGCGCCACCCTCCAGGCAAGAGGGAGTCAGCGCACGCGCCTGCGAACATTCCCGTTTGACCCATGATTTTTCTGCTCCCACATCGGGGTTTGTTACCAGGACCCCCAGCAGGACCCTGCCCCCCACCTTCCTCCTTTCTAGATGATGTAGATGATTGGGCAGGTCTTCTTCCACTCCCACGAGATGTGTCTGCAGTACCATTTCTTGCTTTTCCAGTCTGGGTCACTGCCCGCGGGCTCCCCGCCCTGGAGGGTGGGGCTGCGGCCCTTTCTCGCGACGCCCTCCCCCACGGGCACCTTCCCGTGGCCCCTTTCAGCCCTGCGTTTCAGTGAGACCGGTAGCCAGTATTCACCTCATCGAGGCCCTGCAGTGCTCGGGGCAGCCGAGGTGAGCAGCCACCTGCAGGTGCTTCTCCCTTGACAGGGTCCGCCCCTGGGGCTGCTGGTCTGTGGGTTTGCCTTTCCGTTTCGTGCGCTTGTCTTTGCTCTTCTGCCAACTGTGTGAATCTCTTCTCGTTCAGTCCCATGAAGTCTTTCCACTTACACCCCTAAGGAGCCATCCTGTGGCCTGCGGACACGCTTCTGTGGGGACCGGAGGTGACTGTCCCTCCCCTATCCCAGGGCCGCTCTGTCGCCCCCACTGCCGTCCAAGGACGAGCTCCCCCTCACGCTGAGCTGCTCTGTCCCCTGTACCTGAGGCTCCTCCTTCTGGGTCATTCCCGTTGCTTCCTGAGAAAAGTGCACAGGATGTAAATTTTTTATAAGACTTTGATCTTCAGACTTGGCGGGTAGTTTGGTCAGGTATGGAAGTCTGGGTTGAAGATACTTTTCCTTTTAGAATAATGAAGACTAGCTCCCTTCAATTGTGTTGTCTGCTGTGGTTTTTGAGAGCTCCCAACACATTTCTGACTACTGATTCCTTCATTTTTTTCTCCTCCTGTGTGGCATGTGATCTGCTTTGATTCTCAGCTTTCTCTGCCTTACGTTTATTTCTCTCTCTGGTCCATAACCGCTTCTTCTTCTTCTTTAAGATTTTATTTATTTTCAGAGAGAGGGGAAGGGAGGGAGAAAGAGAGGGAAACATCAGTGTGCGGTTGTCTCTCACGCGCCCCCTCCTGGGGACCTGGCCTGCAACCCAGTCATGTGCCCTGACTGGGAATCGAACCAGTGACTCTTTGGTTCCAGGCTGGTGCTCAGTCCATTGAGCCACACCAGCCCGGGCAATATAATTACTTCTTTACACTCTTTCACCTGCTTTCTAGCTCATGAAATTGGTCTTTTCCTAATTTCTCCACCCTTGTGGATTTATGCCTAAAAGCAAACAAAACCAATAAAAACAGAAACCAATTCCAATAATAAAACCCTACCATCACTTTTGTAGGGTTTTGGGAATAGAAAATGTTGAAGCTTCATCTTCACCTGGAAGTTCTTGAGCAGAGGGGGCTTGAGGCTCCTCTAGTGCTGCTGTGGGCAAAGGCTGCAGGTTCACGAACACTCTCCAGGACTCGCTGATGCTGTGCACCCCGCACAATGGCCCTGCACCCCCAACCCAGCTCCATGCGTGGCCCTTGCAGGTCTCAGTGGTCCAGATACTCCCAGTCATGCTCACAGTGTGGACATGGGAGTCAAGCTTGGCCAATGACCATCAGACTCTGGTGTTTGGAGGAGGGAGCTCTGTGCTTTGGGCTTGTAACATGGGTAAACTGTGACCTTAGGCAGCTAGTGGCCATCTTGTGGGGGACTCCATCTAAGAACGGAGGTGACATCGGAGAAAGTGGACCCAGGAGGTGCAGAACAACTGTTTCCCGATGTCTTTGTGCCTTTGGATACACCCACTTCTGAAGCTAGAGGACGCGGTAAAGAAGAGAAGCAGCTGTTAGAAAGAGGCCGGTGTCTACACACACCAGGTGCTCGGCACTTTCCTCGCCACATGGGCGTGTTGTGTGAAGGCACCGGTCGCACCCGGTTCAAAGCAGGACACAGGGGCCGATCCCACGAGGGCCTGGCTTCCCTGCCTGCCCATTTGTCCCCTTTTTTCTAGATGAAGTTCTACCAGAGCCCATCCATCCATTAATATACTGCATGTGGCTGCCGTTCTCAACAGCGATGGCAGAGATGAGTAACTGTGACAGACTGTATGGCCTGGAAAGCCTAAAATATTTTCAGCGAAGTCTGCCGACCTACGCTCCAGATGACACACTGAGGCTCGGAGGTTTGGAGGGCCTGGTCTACACATGTATAGAATTCGGAAGCAGAATCAATGTTCAAACCGAGCTTTTCTAATGTTTTTAACAACTTTGGGTGTGGTTTTCCCTGTATTTTTGCCTCTTTGAGGTAATCATTTCTGCTTACGTGGTGCTTGTTGCCTTCCCGTGTTGTTGCAGGTACCTCACTTGTATCCGGTCATTTAACCACCGGGATCAGGCCGGGGCAGGTGGAGGCAGGAGTTGGCACACTGGGGCCTGAGGGCTGAATCGAGGCAGCTGTCCGTTTTTGTAAATAAAGTTTTATTGGGACACAGCCACGCCCCTGTGTTTCCTGTAAATAAAGTTGGAGCCCACCCCCCTCGATGTGCCACCTGGGAGCGATGAGCAGTTCCCGCAGAGTGTGTCACAGCCTGTGATGTGTAAAACACGTTCTCTGGCTCTTTACAGAAAAAATGGAGTGATGGTTACAGGGAGGGCTGATTAGTTCACCATCTGAACTGTTTCTTTTTTGGAGACTGTGGGTTACATACGTCACCGAGCAGAGGGACCCAACTTGAAAGAGTACGTGGTGTTATCTTTAAACCAGTGTCTAAATGTGCACAGGTATTGGTGCTCCTTGTGCAAATGCACAAAACTGCAGACCCACCCAGCTCTGTGGAGGCCCCGCCCCAGAGAGCCTGGGGTGGTCAAAAGGCAGGAACCCAGGAGGCAGGCAAATTCCCAAAACACTAGCCCAGAACAAACGGATCACAGGAGCTGTGACCTCAGGCCGTGCTGTGAGCTGCGGCAGACAGTTGGCCGCTCTTCAGAAGCGCGTGTGGAGTTCATTATCTGAGAAGCTCCTTGATGCTATAAAAATCACGTTCCATACAACGGTAAAACTATACTTATTGCTGAAAAGGATAAAATAAGAATAATACATATTGCTACTATCAGAGTCATACCGTCAGTCGGTTAATATTTTGATGGACATGTAATTCTTTTTGGATTGACTTACTGTGATTCTACTGAATTCTCAAAATGCCACGTGGTTATTTTGGGTTACAGTTCTGGAAGGGGATTTCACTTGAGTTTCAGATTTGTTATTTTCTTGGAAATGTTTAGCTAAAGAGCCAAGAAAATACATTGCTGCTCCTAAGGGACTAGGAGAACTGGTAAGTATCAAGTATTATTTGAAAATCTTGAATCTATATAATCAGGCTACGACAGCGCACATTCAGCCTATTGAGCTGTGTTGTTCTTGTCTCGTTGCTGCCAAGTGGCCCTTTGATGAAATGTCCTCCTGTGTGGCCCTTCCCCAGCGGGGCCTGCACCGCAGCGCGGCGGTGCCCCTCGCTGTCCGAGGACACAGCGCCGATGCCACAGCCCGCGCGCCGGGCGTCCCAGGACCTGCAGGCGTCTCGGTGAGGGTCCGAGCTATTTCCAGGGTCTCCCCCGAGGCGACTGTTTCCACTGTGTGCGGCTGTCCCTTCCTACCTCTGGTGGCTCCCGAGGGCTGTGGGGGTCAGGGCAGGGGAGGAAGGCACTGCGTCCTTCTGGGTGTTTCTATTCCTACGGGTCAGTTTCACTGGAGTCCAGACCCTTCCAGCCGCTGACTTCCTGGGCAACGACGATGTCACCGCTGGCTTTTCTGAAGCCAGACCCAGGGGCTGCTGTCCCCCGCCTGGGTTGCCTGGGGGCTCGCCGTAGAGGCGGCCAGAGCGGAGTGGACCTGGAGGCTGGGCCGTTGGAAGGGTTGCCCTGTGTCTGCCCTGGGCCGGGAGCCGGGAGCCAGACCTGCTGCGAGGGAAGGGTCTGGCTGAGGCCTGCCTGCAGATGGCGCCCTGGTGTGGTGGCGACAGCTCGAGCCTGTCACTCGAGCTGTCGGAGCCTCGGTTTGCTCATCTGTGCAACTGGGGCGACGACGTGGACCATGATTATTTTACAGGCCCTTCGGAAAGTGAAGACGACACAGTGGGAGAGAGTCTTTTGCTAAATTGCAATGCGTATGTAAGGGGATATTGTTAACTGTAAAATAAAATCATAACAGAAATTATTCCTGGGAAGGCTTTCCGTTAGAATACAAAGAGGTTCATCAGCAAGCGATCTAATCATGTGACTCTTTGCACTAACTGGGTGCACGTCACAAGCTGGCTTTCCATTCACGAGCTCTAGGGAACCTGCTAAGTTTTTACGTGTTTAGCTAACATCTGCTGGAGCCTGTCCAGGCTTCCTGGTTGAAAAGCGAGCAGGAAGCGCGGAGCTCCCTACACTCGCTGCCTGTAACCTCTCCTGTTAGTAACCCCTTGCATCCTCGTGTCACCCTTGTCACAGTCGAGCCAATACCGATACGTCACCATTAATTGCATTTCATAATTTACACGAGGGCTCACTCTTGCTGTGGTGCATTCTGTGCGTTTTGACAAATGGATAATGACATGTGTCCACCGTCTCGTGTCACGGAGGAGTCTCGCTGCCCTGAAGCCCCCGCATTCCGCCTCCTCGACCTCGGCCCGTCTCCCGGGGCCCCTGGCGAGCGGACCTTCTCCCGTCTCCGTACGTCTGCCTCTTCCGGAATGTCGCAGAGTGGGAGTCACACCGCACTAGGCTTTCGAGGCTGGCCTCTTCCACTGAGTGACAGACGCTGCGGCTCCCTCCGCGTCTGTGGGCGGCCGGCGCGCGCCTCTCCGTCACTGAGGGCCCCTGCTGTGTCTGGACCGCAGCCTGCGTTTCCACCACCTTCTGAAGGACGACGTCTCGGTTGCCTCCAAATTTTGGTGACTGTGAATGGCGCTGCTGTGCGCTTCCATGTGCAGGTCTGTGTGGACGGGAGTGTTCGCCTCTGGGGACACCGGCTGACTGCTGGCCGGGCGAGGACCTGCCGCACGGTCCTCAGAGTTGCAGCCGCAAGCGCGCGCCGCACCCCGGCCTCCCAGCGCCGGCGGCGCGTTCCGGCAGGCGTGCGCCCGCGTGGCCCCATTTAATTGTCAACCACCTAAGGACACACGGTGTTTGCCATCTTTTTACCTGGTGACAGGGTGTCTGTTAGATCATTTGCCCATTTAAAAATTGGGTTGTGTATTTTCCTACTGTTGGGTTTTCAGAGTTCTTTATTCTGGAAGCCACGCTTTTTTCCCACCTGGAACGCATGTTGCAAAGGTCTCCTCCTAGCCTGAGGCTTGGCTTGGCTTTGCACCCCCTTAGTACGTGTTTATCTTTCATTATTTAACCTCACCGCCCCCGTCCCGGCTGTTTCCAAGTACTGCTGACGTTCAGGTTTATGGCTGTTAACATGCTGACAATGGTGGCGGCCCCTTCCCACGCACCGTTGATGCGTTTTGCGTTGGTGATGTCTCTACATGCGACCCAGTCCTCAGCGCTCAATCTCAGACCTCACTTTCTTAATGGGGATCGTCGCCGCCCTCCTCCGAGTGCCAGCCTGTGGCCCATCCGGCTGGCTGGGTGTCCCGGAGCTGACCGGGTGGCATTTCTGCTGACTGGGGGCAGCTGTGTTTGCCAGCTTGCTGGAATAGCCAGACACCGACCAGGTCACGCCGAAGACATTCCTGCCGTGTGAAGCAAGCCTGCTTGTATTTTGGGTTTGCCAGGACTAATGAATTAAAACGTTTGGACTCCCCGCGGCTCGCTGTTTATCAATGCCTCTGACAGGAGGAGGGTTTCTCTTGGTCCTGCTTTTTCTAGAAGCATGACCACATCCCGGCTGTGGGAGAGGCGAGGACAGGAGAGGGTGGCAGCGGGAAGCGGAACAAGAGGCCCGTGGGACGTGGGTCTGCGGACAGCAGGTAGCAGAGCCGGCCTGACAGCTGTCGCTGCTCCTCAGACTGTCAGTGGCCGCCACGCGGCAGGTGCAGCCGTCTCTGCCTGAGTCTCTGCCGCGCGGCGACAACGACCGGCCAAGGCCGTGTGGCCCTGGATTACACAAGGGCGCACACCCCACCGAGTGAGGTAAGGAACAGGTGCGCGCCCAGCGAGCCGCGCGGGCTGCGGCCCTGACGGCGGAGAGACGCCGGCTGCCGGGCTCCAAGCCCACGCGCCGCGGCCGCTGCCGCCCTTTCCAGGCACACAGATGTCTGTGTGCGCAGCGCAGCGGCTCTGCCTGTGTCTGAGCCTGTCACTCCCCTTGGCCGTCGCTGGGACCCCAGACAGGCCTGGAGGCAGCTTGCCGCCTCTGCGCCTGAGTTCCTGGTGCGGGGAAGCCGCGAGCCCCCGCTGGAGCCGCAGCCCAGCCCTGCACCCTCAGATGTTTGGGTCCGTGGTTTGCTGATTGTACCAGGTGTGACGATAAGACTTTTTCTTTTAGCGACAACATCGAGGAGATTTTCATTGTTTGTTTTGCTAAATTTGAGACAGTCTGTTCTATTCCCCAGGGTCAGGTGGCTAACAGGACGCTTGATTCTAAGCAGACGGGGCTGCATCGAAATGCGGGAGAGGGTGAAGCCCTGGGCAAGAAGCAGCATTTAGGTTAACCCTTCTCTTCAGCTGGATGTGTCTTGTCACTGCTCCTCTCTCGCGAAGGCTGACATGCCTTGGGGTGCTGTAGGGCGCGCTGCTGTTTGTCCTGCGGAATGAATGGACCAAACGTGATTCTAACTGTGATGAACAGTTGCTGGGTTTTTTTCCTCCAAAGTTAGGCTAAGTGTTTAACATAAGCCTGTTTTCTCTCCACATACTTGATGAGATGATTCCATATATATTGCGTCTAAATATACTTGTGCGTATACATGCGTTTGCTTTGGTGCTATAAATAATTGTAAAAACAAAATCCAGTGTTCTGGACACTATTTTTAGGTAGGGAAAAGTTGTGGGAAAGATTCAGGGACCTTCTTGTGAGAAAACGTCCCGCTGAAACTGTTCCCAGAGTCTCGCTACAGATGGCAAAAGAGATGATTTGTATTTTGCCATTTTTAGAGACATTTTCCTTAAAATATCAGTCAGAGTTTTTGGTTTACTGTCTGCACAAGAAGGAAAGTAGATGGTGTAGGGGAAACGTGACTAAAAATAGAGAAGTTAAATAGATGTATTTAAATAACAAAGATGTATTTATAACAATATCTTTTCTTAGTGAGCAAAAATTGTCATCTATCTCGGTTTAAATATACTTGGGCTAAATTCTCTTGTTATAACAAAGAAACATTCATGTTTTTGCCTGCTCCTACCGATGTTGCCCACAGGATGTTTTCCCATTCACTCTACCCTTGTTTATCAGCTGAGACTTTAACGATGAGGTAGAGCATCCGTAGGATGTTGGCAGGGTCCGTCTTTTGCTTGTACCCTGCATTGTTAAGACGGCCGACGTCAGGAGACGCCGACTGATTTACAGGTAGTTAATCAGATATGCAGAGCATGTGCTATTCATGCCGTAACTGTAGGGTGTTTACAGACAGGCTTTGGAAATCTTCAAACGACCCCATGATGCTCGTTCTTGGCCGCCCCCGGATCGGCAGCGCGCCCCCAGCTCAGGCGTCTGATGTCCTGCGAGCAGCGTCATTCCCGCCCCCCCCCCCCGTTAAAAATAAGATGTGAGACCCTGAAGGGCCGGGGTGGGATGGACCAGCGTGAAGGGACACTGAAAAGTCCTGTACATTTCACTCTCGATGTTTATTTAAGTCCGAACAAGGATTTAAAGGGGCCGCTGAACAGGGACGGGGTCGGCGCCCAGGAAGGCCGGCTGCGGGGCTGGACAGCCCGTCCGTGCCAGGGCCGGGCCCCGGGGGCGGGGCGACGCTGGGAGTGACGCCGCCTCTTGTCCCCACAGCTGGAAGCCCCGGGGGAAGGCCGCCGCCGCGGCGCCCACATGACCAGAGCCACCAGGGTCCCTGCGGACCGGCCCGTGCGCATCGCCTTCAGCCTCGACGGCGCCCCAGGTACCGCCTGCCCGGGGGCGGGGGGCTAGCCCCTCTCTCCTCCTCTCTCCGTCCCCATTTCGGCATTTATCCAAAGGTCCGGGGGCGGTTACAGTGTCTAATGGCAGCGGAGCAGGTCCCTGGTCCAACGCCCGGAAACGCGCGCACAAGCTGGCAGGGACCGGGGTGTGAAACGCCCGACTCCGGCCCCACAGCGTTTCCCGCGGCCCCAGCCGCTGCGCGGGGCCCACGCGGCGGGTGCAGCAGGGACGGGCCGCGGGGGGCCGGGGCGGGGGGGGGTGGCTGCGGGGAGTGGCAGGGCCGAGGGGCTGCTGCCCTCAGAACCCTGCGCCCAGGCCCTCATGGCATCTTTGCACCTGCTGAGCTCAGGTGCACCCCCTTCGGCAGGGGACATGGGGGTTGTGTGTGGCCGCAGCGCGACAGAGGGAACCTGGGGCCTCTTCCTTCGGCGGGATGCCACCTGTAAATGGCCCATAAACATGTGCTCGAACGCATGGCCACTGAGGCCTCCTGTCTTCTGAGGACCGATTTTGCATCTCTCAGTCATCTATAGCTGTCTCTCTATCATGTGTCAATCACTTCTATCTGTGTATCTATCATCGGCCTTTGCTCCCTGCGACGTCCGCGTGGAGGTGCTGCTTTAACAAGCAATGATGGGAAAGGGACAGGGTCCTGCCCCAACGCGGCAAAGCTGTGTCCCCGTCAAAGGCGGGGGTGAAGGGGACCTTCCCAGCAGGCACACCCGCCCCCTGCAACGTGGGGATGAGAGCTGCATCCCCTGCACTTGTCTTGTGCGTTGGGCGTTCGCTCAGGTCGGCACTGATATTCCCAACTTGCAGGGACAGCGACTGAGGCCGGAGGCTGTGCTGCGGGCAAGTCCTGGCGCCGTGGCTTGAGCCCAGGCCCCCAGGTTGACGGTCTGGGCTGTGGCTGTCACCCCGCACCGTTTCTCTAAGACGAAGAAAACGGTGTGTGTAGGGGGAGAGAGAATGGGGTGGCTCTGTACTTCCTGCTCAGTTTACCTGTAAACCTAGAACTGCTCTAAAAACCAAGTCTACTAAGTGAAAAGAAACAAACAAAAAACAAAAGAAGAAAAATCCCTGCTTGTTTTTACTCATTTTGTAAATACAAGTCTGTGAGGGGCCGTCAGAGCCGCGTGGCTAGCTCTCAGGACAGACACACGCAACCCCGACTCCAGGGACAGAGAGCAAAAGCATCACTTCCGTCTTTGTGTTCACGTCCCCTACGAGCAGAGCAAGTCCTGTTAGAGTCAACAGCCTTACCAAGAAGGTTTCAGTGCATACAGCTTGCGTGTCCCAAGGATGTTATTGTGTCCTCATTTACGACAAGACAAGTAAGTGTACTCCTCCCTCATCCTTATTTTGGCAGCATTTCATTAATGCCCAGAGGAAAGCCAGGAGAGGTGAGTCTTGATCGCGGGTTGCATGAGTAGACTCTTCCTTGAGGTGCCACGTGGGGAGCTTGCCATTAATTGCCACCATGCCTCAAGCTCTCCTGGCCCTTGCCTGGGAGGCCTTGCGTGTTCTGCTTCAGCCACTTCGGACCGAGTCATTTCAGCCTATTTCAAACGATGCAAGAGTGCCCACTTGTGAAAAAAATCGACATTGTGGCCTCACATGGGGTGGTCGTTTACTTCAAGTAACTCCTATTGATGCCATGTAGGAAGCCCTCTCCGTATGACCAGTGTGTCCCTGTATCCCTAGGAAGAGCCCCAACTGGGGGACCCAAGGCAGGAGCGGGTGGGTCTCGGCCTTTCTTAAGATGGTCGCCTGCAAGCGCTCGTGAAGACCCCATTCGGGCTCTCACGCCGCACACTCCGGTGCCGGGGGCCCAGGCTGAAGTCCCAAGCCTGGCATGTGCGTGCACAGGCCTGCCCTGCCCAGAAGGCAGCTTGGCACGTGTCTGAGGACACGCCCTGTGAGGCCTTGCGTCAGGAGCTGTGGTGCGCCACGCTGCGTGGCATGCAGACCACGCATTCCAGGGAAACGGCCCGACTTCCACAGGAAATGGGGCAACTGCGGTGACGTCTCGGGAGTTGCTCTGTTGTGCTGAATTTATTGCTGAGCAGGAAGCAGAGTCCATGAGAAAGGGGCTCATTTTTGCCTGAGAACATCGACGTGTTCATGGCTCGTGAGCCTAGTACATACCATGCGCGTTCCCCTGGTCATGTGAGGGCTATTTTTCTTTCTTTTTTTGTGTATTTCTCTGAGATGATTTGGGACAGAGGTTAACAACACAGAGCCCCAGCGCCGGCGAGGCATGGTTTCTATGCCCGTTTCCATCACTGTCTGTGTGATCCTCGGTAAGTTACTAACTTTGCTCAACTGCAGTTTCCCACAAGACGCGTAAGGTCGTTCAGAGAGTTGTTTCAGGAGGCAAATACCGCGGCACAGGCAGGACACTCCCCACGGTGCTGGACACCAACTGAGCGCCCAGCCGGCTCCCGCCTCCCGCCAATCTCCCGCTTCTCCTCGCCGTGGAGACGGAGTCTGCCGCCAAGGGACCGGCAAGAAGCCAAGGCCAGCCGCCCAGCCAGTGGGCTGTCGGTGTCCCTGTGTCCCCTCCGCCCGGCGGTCTGACCTTCCGTAGCTTCTGCGCTCCCGGACTCCGCCCGCGGTGGGTGAGAGGCGCGGCAGAGCGGGCGGGTTCCACGAGGTAAGGGGTTTGGGGGGATCTGCTGCCCAGAGCGGACACACCGGCTTCTTCTTGGGAGGCAGGGCGGTCGGCCTGGGCTTGCAGACGGCCAGGGTGCGGGAGGCAGGGCAGGAAAGGCGCGCCTCTGGGTACCTTTCCTTCCGAACCCGAAGTAGGAGCAAACCCGAGTCAGGAAGAGCACGACGTGCTCCGGACACACGCAAGGCCTCGTCTCCTGGCGCCGAGGTCGGAACGGCGGGCCACCGCGCGCCCCGCTCTGACCGGCGTCGGCCGCAGCCCGTGCAGCGCCGGTGTCCGCCCCGGCGGCGGGGACTAGAGTCCCAAGCCCGTCTTAGAAGTTCCGCCAAGGAGCTTGGACTTGATCCCAAGCTGCGAAGTGTGAAAGCTCTTGAGCAAAGGAGTGACAGACGCGGCGAAGGCGGAGGGCCCCTGCGCAGGTGGGGGTGGTGGGGGGACCGGGAGGGGCCGGGGGGGCCGCTGCGAGAGGCTCTGCGGCGGCGCGGGGACCCACCGCGGGCGCCCGCGGCCGGGAGGCAGCGGCTGTGTTCAGGGCGCGTCTGCGCGGGGCGGGAAGGCCCGGGGCTCGGCCTGTCCCCCGGGAACGGGGAGCCGGTCACTGGCCATTGATGGCCGAACGGGCCTCGAGGCTCCGGACAGACCTCGGTCCTCGGGGTCTGAAAGGAGAGCGTTCTGTGGTCCAGTTGCCATCTCTAGATGGAACCCCGTCACCAGGAGCCCCCGGGAAGGAGCCCGCGGGCGCTCTGCGTCTGTGAGAAGCCGGGCTGCCTGGCGCGCGCTGCGGCTTCTCGAGCGGACTGGCTGCGTTGGGGCCCCGGGGTCCGTCTTCCCCGGGGAATCGCGCAGAAGGGAAAGGCCAGTCCCGCCTCTGGGCTCCTGCTCCGACCGGGGAGAGCCGAGGGCAGGCCTGGCGTGTCCAGGGCTTGAGAGTTTTCTTTCTCTTCACTGTCGCTGAAGCCTGGCAGCTCCCATGCAAAATTAGACCTTAACGTTGGGTTGGCTTTTTTTATAAAGTTTTTATTTAGAAAGAGGGAAGGCTACTGATGTGAGCCCAAGCTGCTGGCTTTCAACATTTTGTTTTCAAAAAATTCTCGCAAGCTGTCAGGTTTTTCATAGCGAGGCATAAAGTGATCACATGGCATTTCGTTTAAAAAAGCCCAAGACCCCTCCTGTTGGTGTCTCTTTTAAGAAATACTATTTTCTTCTCGCACGCCAGGGTAGTTGTGTGCGCAGCCGTGGCAACTGCGTGGCGCGGCTGAGAGGGCTGCCCTCGGGTCTGATTTCACCGGGCTGGTGTGAATGTCTTCCTGCGTCACGGGCCGCGCTGGCTCTCAGCAAACCCGGGAAGCCGGTGCCAGGTCTTTTGCCATTGACCCCTTCCTTCGCCTTCTCCTGGCGTTGGCGTCTTTATTTCCCTCTTCCTCCCCCGGACGCCAGGATCTGGGGTCCCTTCATCCAGGACCCCCAGACACCTCGCCCTCGCCAGGCAACAGACGAGCGCGGAGGCTCAGGCTCGGCTTCTGCCAGGCATTCCGCGACTCTGCTCGTGCTCAGGGGGCTCCGTGGGAGGCCGAGGCGCAACGTTCCCGCCGGCCTCTGTCACCAGCTTGGCGGGCCGGCGTCGGGGGCCGCGGCTGGCGGCGCCGGCTAGAGCTCTCCCAGGGCACGTCCTGCCGCCGCTCCCGCCCTGCGTGTGAAGCTGCTCAGCTCCCAGCAACAGGACCTGAGGAAATCCCTGAGCCTTTACAGAGCGGCGAGCGGGGCGCCCGCCTGCGAACCGTCAGGTCCGGAGCCCAGCAGGGACAGCCGCCTTCCCCCTCCGATGCCAGGTGCGGAGTCTGTGAGACACACCTGGGGTCATTGGCTGGCCTGTCGCTTAAGGCCTTGAAAAAGGCCCGAGGAGAGGCGGGTGTTTACTCAGTCCTCGGGGGCTGTGAACCGCCATTTCATCACCTGAGTCCTGGCACCAATGCAGAGGGAAATGCTGTCGCACCCGTTGTGCCGGTGGGGTAACACCCCACATGGCCCTTCATAAGTAGCGTCAAGAGGGATCCGAAGCCAGGCCCTCAGTTCCGCTCATGGAGGCAGGGCCCACGGAGGACGGAGGCCCAGGGCGGGGCTCCCGGGGGCGGGGCTCCCGGGGGCGGGGCTCCCGAGGGCGGGGCTCCCGGGGGCGGGGCTCCCGGGGGCGGGGCTCCCGGGGGCGGGGCTCCCGGGGGCCGGGGGTGCGACGGGGCCGCAGTGAGGAAGCGCAGAGCCGGCGCGTTCTCACGGAGCAGGACGGAAGTGGGGGCCGATTTTGTTTG